AATATTAGCTTTATTTATAGATTTTTAATGATATATATGTAATAAAATCAAATATATAAAAAAATAACTAAAGAATTAAGTTTAAATTATTACTCTTCTATAATAATATAAAGTTGCGAAATGTTTTGTTTAATTAATAAATCATTTTTTTTAAGCTTGTTTACTCTTTTTTTAAGTGCAAAGATTCTTGATTCATGGCTTTTTACAGTATCAGTAAGTTTGATAATTTCTTGCTTAAAATATTTCAGTAAAACACATATACAATATTTATTTCTTCAAATACAAACATCATATATATTTTCATTTTTTGTAAATTTACACTTGTAATTTAAAATTCTACAATTAAAACAATGAACTGACTTGCTTGGTTTTTTTATATCTTCAACTATTTTTAACTTTAATTACATGAAAAAGAATAAATTTATGATATATTTATATTTTTTATTTATAATATAATAATAAGTGAAATAAAATAATAAAATAATAAAATAATATTATAAAATATATGTAAAATTATAAAGATTAAAAGATTGTAAATTAAATAATCATTCTTTGAAACAAGCTTTTTTAAATTTATCAAATTTTTGTTTTCTTTTTTTAGATATTTTTTTAGTTTGATTTTGATTATTTAAAAGTTTAACATATAATTTTCTATTAATATTTTTTAAATTTTTTAGAAAAATTATATTTTCAGGAAGTGAATCTTTCCAATAATGATTATAAACTTCAAAACTAAAATTAATATAATCAACATTTGCAATAATGCCACTTAATATATAAAACATATCAATTTCTTATTTCAAATATACATTATTATTATTATTAATATAAAGATTTTCAAAATCATCATTATAAACATAATTCTTAGCTTCTTCAATATCTTTAATATCTTCTACAAATTTTATATCAAATCTACTATTGATGAATTTTTGAATATCTTCTGGTTTAATTCTTTTATCATTAGATTTTATAAAAAATTTAACATAACCTTCAAGATATCTGCCATACATATTAGTCATATATTCATGAGTATAAGCAATTGAATCAGCAAATTATCTATGTAATGCATATCTTTTTTCTTGATGCTCTAAAACTATATTGTTATATAATCTTCTTTTAAATGAAAATAGATCATCAAGAAAATCTTGTCCAGTAAATATATTGAACTTTGAAACTATTTTTATAAGAGATTTATTTCTCTGTTTTATTATACATTGATCTTGTAATATTATATTAAGAAGATCATTTAAAGTGAATGCATGATATGAAAATTCTTGTTTAATAATACATTTATGATTGGAATATTCATCAATATATTTACTATCTTGTGCTTTAATACAATAATCTTGTTTATTTGTTAAAACCATACCAAGCTTATTTACAAATATAGTTTTTCCAGTACCTGAATCTCCATAGAATAAAAAATTTTTTGGATAAAATTTTTTATCAAAAATAATTTTTTTCTTATTGATAAAAGAAAATTGATCTCTTTCAATCATTTTGTAATTTTGAGGATTTGATAACCAATTGGCAGGCATTAATTCTTTGTTTGTTATAACTTCTTTATATGGAATTTTATTATCATGAAGTTTAATAATTCTTTTCATATCATCTAACTTTAACTTATTTATATCATCTGTTTCTCTTTCAGTTCCATCCAAAAATTGATAAGTGCCAAATTCAAATAGACTAACAATTTCTGAAGATATTTTTCCTCTGCCCCAGGCTGCTAATTTATGTTCATATATTGAATTACATTGATCACAAATTTTATTAAAATCAAAAAAATCACATATACAATATGGATGAATTTTATAACGATTAAAATCCTTTATTGCATATGTACAATTCTAATTAGAATTTCCTTTAAGTTTTGTAGGAAATGACATTGATCTATCATTAAATATTTCTTTTGTACTTTTAATAGTTTGATATTTGTATTTATGAAATTGCATATATAATTGGGTATGAAGTTTACCATTAACAGTAGGTTCAAATTTACCACAAATATATGATACTTCATCTTTCATTTGTTCATAATCTGTTTCAGTTACTAGAAGTGACCATTTACATAATTCAATTTTATTTATTTCTTTACAATAATCACAAATTACATCATTGTATTTGTTTAAATTGCAACAATTTGTATATTTTTTGTTTTTACAGTACCAATAGCAAGTATTGCAGAGTTCGCATAATGGAACACCTGATTGTTTAGATTGTTTTTCATGAAGCTCTTTATCTTTCTTTGTTTCTGTCTTTTTATATTGAAATTTTTTTTATAAGGGATACAATAATATGATGTTGCAGCATTATGGATAAATTTATTTGATTTATCCATTTTTTTTAAAAAAAATTTTCTCAGACTAAGATCCGTAACCAACATATTTATAATTTATTTATTTATATTGTTAATCTAAAATTAATAGTATATACATTGATAATATATTAATTATTTTTTACAATTGACCAAAACTTATATATCAATTACACTTTAATACAACTATAAAGATAAAAAACAACTTTAACGATATGATCATATAATGGACATTAAAAAAAAAACGAACTCTTAAATAAAAAAATTTTATTAATAAAAAAAAATAAGTTATATATACATTTCATTAGCATACAAGCGATAGACTTACTGAATCACAGCATTACGGCATTTTACAAGTAGAATTAATCGCAGCATATCTAATTTTATTAAACAAACTGTGCATTTCTATATTTAGTCATTTATTAATTTATACGTACTATATACTATTTA